ATACATCTGCTTTGGAAAATAATCGAATAAATTGAAAATATAAATTCTGAAAAAGAATTTCTATATTTTATAATTTTAATTAAATGATGTTTTAAACATCATTAAATTTCTAGGAACTTGTTATGCAATCTTCGTAAAATCTTTTTATATTTAAATATTGTTTTCGAAATTAATTTCATAACAGCATATTATTAGGAATTCAATTTTTCAATTTCTTTTATAAGATGTTTCTATATTAACATTATCAATCATTTCAAGCAGTTGTAAATGTAAAATAAATTTACTATATATACAAATAAATATAATGTAAAGATTCGGATTTAAATTCAAAATTAAAATGTTATGCACGAAGATCGTGAAGTTATAAGGACCGAACATTAGCTCTCTTGTAAAAAAGACATACAACACATTAAAAATAAAATCACAAGAAAGTGAAAAATGCAATTTACCGACCAGATATCTCAGAAAAATTGTAATTTGTCATCACTAAACTCGATAGCGCGGTTATACGCGTCGGACGATGCATATATAAAACCACAATAAATCTCAAATAATAAATCCCGCCTATACTATCCAGTAATACATGGTATTCCGATAGATTCGTGAACGTGTGAATCTCATATAGAGAAGCAAATAGTGTGGATGATTGCGAAAGAAGAGACAGGTGTGATCGAAATAAAGCGCAAAAGATTCATAGTCGTGAAAACATCTCAATGAAGCATTTCAGGAATGAGATCTAAGGAAAAAGAACGAAATCAATATTTGATTCTGCGAATTAACAGATTTCTGTTTGTCTTCTTAATTTAGCGTATCTATAAACTAATAACTTAACTAGACTACAGTAAAAATATATAAGCCATTATGTTGTTATATTAAATGACATTATCGTTGGTAATACCTTAGCAAGGATATAAAAAGTACTCTTTTACTTCTTATACTTATTTTCTCCTTGAAATGATACAGTTTATATATCGGATGAGAAGGACTAAACAAGCCCATTCTCATCACCTCATATATGCGCATCGTGGATGAAAGATAAGCGAGGTCGCACGTGAATCAATGCCGTTTACGATACCAGGTTATGAGGTATTAAAAGACCGCATGTTGATATCACATGAGGACGCAAAATTTATATGTATCCGTAATAGCGACGACGCATAGATTAAGAATATCGAATGATATAAATGCTAAATAATGTACTAATATTGCCATAAAAGTACGTTATATATCAATCACATATATTACGAATTCGAAATTTTTAAGCAATTTTAGCATGCTTGGCATTAGAATGAAAGGAAGTTTATTGTGATATGCAAATATATTTCAATATATTATATTTAATATATTATATTCAATATATTATATTATATTTAATATATTATATTTATAAATTATAAATTATAAACCGGAATATTAAACCTCTTTTGCAATATGCTACATCATTTAAAAAATATAATTTATTAATTTAAATATTATTAAAGATATTCTCGTGTATATGCGTTATTAATTTTTTGAAGCATATTTAATTAATACTAATATATCGTAATCAATAATTTTGAGAATAACAATATTGAAACAACATATATTAAAATATTATATGAAAATATTATATACATATTATAATTATATTATATAATATTATAATTATAATATATAATATTATAAAACAATATATATATAACAATATATAAAACAATATATAAAACAATATATTAAAATATTCAAAATTGTTATAATTTTTATTATATGTATACATGTATAAATTTAATGTACATACATTAAATGAATTATCCTACATATATTTTTATGATATCTTACATAAAAACAGAAAAACGATAAGCGTAAGAGTGCATTATTTGCAATTGTCCATTTTATCCATTTAAATTCGTCTAAATTTTAATTTTGAAATGTGTATTCATTGGTAGAAAATGTATCACGTGTTATCACATTTCCATTCATAGATATGTTATTAATAATGTGCCTTTTAATGTAAGTATCCAATATTACACATTTTATATCGCAAATATGTATTATTTATAACAATGTTATTACAATTATCAATAATTGATTGGCACATTTAATACATGTACAATGAATTTATAAATTTATACACATAATAAATTCAAATTACAGCAATTTTGAATAAAAATATATATTATTTCTCTCTCTTTCTTTTTCATATTATTATTTCAAAATAAATTACTTGTTAGAATAAATTAATATAAATTAAATACTTTAAAAAATTAATAAATTATTTAGAAAATTTTTTAAATTAGAAAATAAAGAAAAGAGAGGAAAAAAACAGAGAAAGAAAGAATAATCTACGAGTATGTTATATTAAATTTTTATAATTTTTTTAGCTCTTTTTGTCTACAAAAAATTATGTCACTAAAAATAAAAATAACAAAAAACAATGTGGTTCACAATCTTTTAAATTAAAAAGTTGATTCTGCAACAACTTTCAAGCGAATAACTAGATACAATTTGTTATACGAATATTACAATTTACAAAGGTGAATCATGCACTTGTAAAATTTGTTTAACGGTTATATCTTGAATAATAAAATACATTAAAAAAGCAACATTTAATTGATAAAAGAAATATATTCTGAAGTTTCACGATATTAATTAAAGAGATTTTCGACGAGTAAAGAATAAATCTTTTGAGGAGGAGATCAACTAGAGCTAGAAGTTTTTCTCGGGAGTGAACTACTTTTTCCGATGCGAGTAAACTTGTACTGGCAACGCCCTGGTCGTAAGAAACCGTTGTTTCCGCGACAAGATATCTTCTACGCTCTCAGAAACGTTCCCTGCAAATTCGACGAGTTTCTCGACAAGACGTTAGCCGTAAGAAGCTAGCAGACCGACCCGGTTGTTCCTGACCTGGGCAATTCGTTACTACCCTTCTCACTGCCCCGTCGGCAGTGTTCCATCGTTACTCGCACTTACGTATATATGCGATTCTAATTTTCCAAGTCCCATGGAGAAAGAAACTCGCGATTGATTTTCCTCGGAATCGTATCTTCTCGGCTTTTTATTGTACTATCATACCATGTCGGGTGTAGAATAATATCATCGTAACTTTGCAGAGAAATTTACGACTAAGCAATCATTCCGTACGAATCGATTAAAATAAATATATTGGACGTATCTTTCTAAATGTATAATAATAACAATAGAGTGAACGGTATTAGAAATTTTATATAAATTAAAATTCAAATAATTTGTAACGTTCCATAAAATTATCGAATTTCTCTAATCGAACAGTTTCCTCCTTTTCTCTTCTCGTGAAAATTAATTCGACACGTTTGATATTTGATTGACGCGGAATATTCGATATTAACCAACTCGGACATTTCCTTAATTAATTTAATCCGCAATTTTATGTTCTAGAAACTGCAAATATAGATACATATTGTATAATACACGCATGAAAGATATTTAATTTTATAAACAGAAAAAAAATAAAAAGTTTTTTTTTTATCTAATAGAGTAACTTTTACATACTGTAAAATCAAAGATAAAATGGCAAGAATGTTTCTAGCGTTAAAATTGCGTTATTGGACAGGACGTGCCACATTTAGCACGGATTTCTGCTCGATCAAAGTCGGCGGCAAATTTCGGATTTCTGCGGACGATCAAGCACAGACCGCGCTTTGCATTTAGCCGTATCGGCTAATGAGATCCCACGACGTCATCCCAGGAGATTATGGGTAATGCATCGCCGGAGGCTACGCCCGTGTAAGCGTGTTTCGCTCGGCAAAAGTTACCCGACAACATTTTTGCTGGTATCGCGCGGTTATTAGTATTTCGTTCGGTACTCCTGGCGGCTTTTGCACGGATTATCCGATTATTCAAATTCTCTTATCCCGCGGACGCGACTTGATAAAACCTTTTACTTCGGAGGCGACGGGTAAGGCTTAATCATCCGTTCTAATTCTGTGCAGAGGATTCATTCAATTTGGCATAAGAACTGGATTGCCCAGAAAGCAAATAGACGATACGCATATTACTGCATATTTTCGCAGAACGAAGAATTTGCTTAATCCTTTTTAAGATCTGTCAATTTGCTTCTCGCGGGGCTTGCTAACATTTTGAATAGCTTTGCAATGCTATAAAATGCCAGAATGATTTCGGACTGAATTAAGTTTCCCTAAACGTGCCCTCGTAATGGATAAAGCTGTGCAAATTCTCCGCACATCGGTTAAAAGCTGATAATAAATGGTATCCACATTTCGAGTGTGTGATAAAGGAAAAACAGTAACGTGACGGAAACGATTCTCTTTTCCAACGGTCAGAGAAGTTTCCTACTACAATAAACATTGGCGGTGATGATAATAGCACAGTAATGTAGATACATATATTCTGTAAATTGAAAATCGATATCGAAATCCCCTGCACTTTCAACGAGGCTTACGAGTTTCATGGGGTGGTAAAAGCAAATAGTCTTCGATTTTACAATTTTTATAAAAAGATCTATCTCAAAGCAAAAAGATATGAGGAAAACGTATTCCGATTGAATACTATAAAGCTAAAAAAGCTGCTATTGAATGGATAAAAAAGGGAAAAAAGAGCATCCGCAATTGGAGATTTATACATTAACGTGTGCATTTCAATGATTTTACGTTTTCGTTACACTTGACTAATTTTCTTCAGGACGAATCAATCGTCAATTAGCATAATAACGTAATGAATATATTATCATAGCAAAAATTGATCATTAAAAAAATTTGCACTGTTCACAAATCTATTCTTAGGTAAAATAAATTAATGGATAAAAAAATGTCTTTTTTTCCTTTCGTTTAAAGTACTCGAGGTAGCCCGTTCAATTTTCGTTAATCTCGCGCAGATACTTTTCCGGAAAGATTTCAATACACGAATGTGAGAGAAATGCATACAACTGCAAATGCAGCGTCGAAGTTCAATCTGTTTCACTAACGTACACATTTCCTTCTCTCTGATTCAACAATGTGACAATCGTGTCGATAGGCATCACTTACCAGATGGTTGTTCAGCGTGAATGAGAAGTTAACCGGCGGCTTCGATGACGGTAGGCTGCAATTTGCCTTCAACACGTCTCCCGCGTCGTACCGTTCGCGTTCCGATACGATAACGGGCCTTCCGCCGGGCAGAGCTGAAACATATAATTTCGCAGGTCTCTCTTATAGTCATTGTCAACGAAATCTAAAGTGTGGGGCGAATGCGGTAATCGTGCCGTTTTCCTCGAGCTTGCCGCCGAACTTATCCAATATTCAAGCGCCAATGAGGAGCCCGTTATGTCGCCAGCTTTATGCGCTTCTAGCGGAGCACAATGGGGTACGTGTATTGCGTAATTCCGACGCCACCCTCGAAAGGCAGTTACGGACGCGTAACCGTGGAAAAATATTAAGCGCAGTACGTGGGATATTGATTTTGCCGGCAGTAGCGCGAATCTGGTAAACGTGGAGCGTTGTGATGCAAAGACAATAGCTCCAAACTGAAACTGTGATTAAAAGCTTGTTTGTTCGGCTGCAAAATGAAGTGTCCGTGAATAGCGCCGATCATTGCATCGCCGCACAGGAGTTGAGACGAAACGGACTTGGGTGAAGTAATAAAGCAAACTTTGTATCGGAAATCCACTAATCGTTGCGATATTTCAAACACGAAATAGAATACTGGAGATAATCTAATTTTCGAAAAATTCCAGATATGTAAATCAAATATCCGCGATTGAGTAGAAATTGCGATTGCTAGTAAAACATTTATCGATAATAAAACATTTACGATTGTTAAAATTGCATGTATTCTTTATTTAATATATCTTTCTTCTAACTTAAATTTATTATATAGAAATGTTATATTTAAACAATATATATAATGCATTTATGATATCGGTTATTTTAATTTTCTTCTAATTTTATATTTACAATAGCGCGCGGCGTGCAGCCAGATGCATATTATATACATAATATATATATATATTTGAATTTCGCTCGTTGCACAAATATACTTCTAGAGAAATTGGATGCGGAAAATGGATCGTCAATTTACAAAGCACTTCAATTTTATCACTAAGCTATCAAAATCTAGAACGACGATAAAGATATTAAATGTTCAGTCTATGCTTACTTTACTCAGAAAAATTAAGAGATGTATAAATTTTACGTACTTGTATGAATAGTATTTCTATTCGCTTGTCATTCTACATTGTATACAAATTATAAAAGAACTATATGTAACACATCAATTATATTAAAAAATGGTCTTGTTAGCATTTATTTAAAATGTGACAATCTAAAATAGATTGTGAAAAGTATGCATATAACACGGCTTCTGCGAAAAATGTTCAGATTAAATCATAAAATATTAAAGAAGAATTATTGCAGTTTATTTCGTTAAATGTTAATTGGAGGCTCGTGATTCATAGATTCGAACACTATGCTCAAATTATAAGCTAATTTAACATCATATTTGATAAGACATTTCTCGCGAACAAATATGTAATATGTTGTTATAATGAGCGATTTATGAAAAACCGAATTTCTGCATTAATTTGATCTTCGATTAATAGGGTGGTTTCAATAATATCTAGCTACAAACAGATAAATTAATTGCATTCGTTAAATGATGATATTCAACGCAAATTTACAAACACATTTCGTATATATATTTATGTATTTAAAATTATTTAATTATCGTGTAAACCAAATTTTGGCAAAATTACCAATAAAGTTATAATATTGCAAAAATATGGAAAATTAATTTATATTCACGTATGATGAATCAAAATTTTAAGTTATATACTCTAATCCGATTCTTTGATGACTTATCTTAATATTACTGATTTTTTTCGTTTTTCTAATAAAATAATACTCTCTGATAAATATCAAAAATATTTCGAAATTTTTTATTGACTCTTTTTTATAACGTGTTATATTATACTGTTCTCTTGGTACCACTATTTAAACTTCTCAACTATTCTCACGTTCTTAACTACAGACTTCACATATATGTATACTTTATATAGTGAAGCACTTGAAGCCAACTTGGGATGAAACCGGAAGCTATTGCCAGCAAGTCAAGTGAAAGGAATAACCATCGAATCTCCTAAGCTCTGCTCGAGGCGACGATAAACCGGTGACTCGTGAAACGATAGAACGATTAATTGAATCCCAGTTATTTTGCTATATTTCATCTATAAATTATTGAGCAAGATACAGAATATTGATCAAAATATACGCTATTTTAGCGTTCCTACTTCTCACTCTCAATACTAATATACATTAATAATTAATATTCATCAAACGTTGTTGTAAAAAAGGAAAAAAACATTTTAATAAAAATTTAAACTATTCGAAAGAAATATAATTTGAATAAATCAATAGAAAAATTATTTAATATAATATTAAATATTTTAATGTGAATGAAACAGAGAGGAAAAGAGAGTACAATTAAAATTACATGACATTGCATATTTTCGTGCAAAAATTTTCAATTTTACATTTCCTTGTTATTAATGAAAGCTTTATTAACGTTTATTGTGTAAAATTCACAATTATGACTTGTATTTCTATCCAAACTTTTTCTAAAAATAATAAAATGAAGAATGGAACAAAAAGTAACACGAGAAACGTGTAACTGTCAGGTATCGCAAGAGAATTACGCAATAAAACTTTTACTGTAACGTAAAAGGTATCCTGTCTTATTTGCGCCAAGTTTTCTTCATCCTATATTTCAATTAGTTATACGTGATATCGATTTATCATTTTGTATCAATTTTAACAGGATACCGTAAGGATACGGAAAAATTGATATAAACTAAGAAAAGAAAGATAAGATATTGAAAAAAATTCCAGTATAAATATGATTTTCCCACAAGCATGTGAAGACTGTAAGATTCGTTTATCCTATGAGAATATCCCGCGATATTATCGTAAAATATGAAATTCATATCCTGTCCGATATGCGAATAGCACCACCTTCCTATATGAAAGATTCTCCGTCTGGATTTAAGTGCTGCTAATAAAGAAAACGATCTGTGGATATTATGTCTCTGCCAAAATCCTAATGAATTTCGGGTACCACCATGATGGATGGGAGATTATATGATAGAAATGAAACTCCATCACTATCACTATCACTATCGCATTGAATTCTTTGCAAATATCTATCCATCTTGTACGAAATTCATTAATCATGCGGATGAAGCCAAGAATATTGAAGTTGTCTTGCAAAATAGTAATATGATATATTAAATAGTAATATGATATATTAATGATATATTAATGATTGCGGTAATACTATAATTGTAAGAAGAAGGATAACAGAAAACACGATAATAAGTTTTCTTCGTACTGAATCTGCTAAAAAATAAACGTGATACATTTACAGCAACTCGGTGAAAAAGAGAAAACCTTTAAATATTTGACGGAGGAGCATCGGGAATAGACGAGAGTAAAAATAAAAGTTAAAGTACTACCAGAAGAAGAAGAAGAAATAGGAACGCAAGAAAACTGGCAATGGTTATGAAACGAACAATAAAAAGAATTCCAACAAAGATACATACGAAAAGTTAATAAATAGCAAAAAAAAAGGTTAATAAATGCTAATCAACTTATACAAGAGTAATCATATTTTTTCAGATTTATTATGTTAATTATAATAAAGTAATGAACGCTTTCGAAATACGTAAACAAATATTTGAAGTAAAGATAAAAAATGAGAAGCATTTTATATATTTTTAAGTATATTATATATATATATATTCCATATTCAAAATATAAAGTAATTTAATTTAGAAATAAAAAAATTTTTAAGAAGACTTTTGAATTGCTTTTTTCTGTAACTATTGCGTCCACTACTTGAAATTAGCATAATTGCAAAGGCTTTAATTTGTTATCAATGCAAAACATTTTTAAAATATTTTATATAAATTTGTCTACATTTGATGGTTGAGATATTGAACGATATAACTGATCTTTGAATTTTGCAGATTAAAATGGCCAACGAATTGCCAGAAATTTCGACAACCATATCGCGCATCATTCGATCATCAATCTTCTCCGTTTATCGGAAGTCAATTTTATAGTTGGTATGATTTACTACCATATATATACATATATACATATTTTTAATAATTACCTTCTATAAAGGCTTGTGTCAATTAAATGTGACGCATTTCTTCAGTCATAATAAAGATATTATATGAGTATTACTTAGCGCACAAAAAAATTTTCACTACAATAATAATAAACGTTTAAATTAAATCGTAATATGAATTTTAATACGTAATACTTTTATCGAGAAAATTTTTATTTAAAAAAAAAATTAAAATAATTTTTTCGGTGTTGTGATATTATTTATCATATAATAAAGTAAATTGTTAATAAATATTCTATTAAATATTATGTGAAATCGCGAAAAAAATTACTATAAAATTGCACGCAATCAAACATTCAAATCGTAATGTATTTTAATAATATGCGCATCTACGCGTGTGCGTACAAATGTATACGTAATACGCGTGTGGATGTGTATATGTATTATTTAAGTATTTAAAAAAAAGAATAAAAATGTTTCGACAACTCACAAGAATAGAAGTTAATAAGAGCTCAGGAGAACTCAGTGAATTTGTGGAAGATAATTCAAATTATTACGCATTTGTTGATACATTGAGAGAAACGTGCTTAAGCAGAACTACAAGCGATTTTGATATAGTGTTCTACTGTCGAGCGTTATACATATTAAGATCTGAATCTATTTTACATTCATGAGAATATAGGACGTAAGTACGTAGAAATTTCAAAATTAACATATATGTGCAGTCTTCTTCACAGGCAATTGCACTTGTATAAATTAAAATTATGCAAAATTCTCCAAAATCTTTCTAATTTTAAATAAGGAATATTATATCTTATACAATGCACTCTGTTTTACTGATATTACATAATTATCATTTTATGTGAATGAGTGTTAAATAATTCTATTACATCTTTACTGTAGTAAAAATAGATTCCAAATTGAAAAATTTATCAAGATAAAAGTTAAATCGCTACATTTATATGTGTATGTAATAGGCGAATTAGACAATAAAAGTTTCAACTTATTTATTGTGATAATATTTTTTTACGCACGCATTTCATTTCTATTATATAT